AGTATTTTGTTTCCAAGGCCGTAACTAGGCTCAAATTTTTAGTGAGGCAAGGGCGCTGGGCATTCCTAGTCCCAGACGGGGCAAGGGTCTAATAGCCAGTGATGAGGGTTTGAAAGGCCTGAAACATGGATATTAGAAAATAAAAGATTTGCTCTTAGAAAGTTTTTATGTTTTTAATTGTTGACCGCATGGCACAGTGGTTAGAGCGTATAATTATGCTCTAAAGTCGCAGACTAAGGAGTTGATCCTTATATCACAGGTTCGAATCCCACTGCGGGAAGTGGAGACCGGTCCTTCGGATGAGACCTTAAAAACTGAGGTCCTATGTCACAGTAAGTGATGACACAAAAGAGATGTCAGTATTTAATCATCTTCCGTGACCACGAAAGCCCAGTGTAAATTGAAAAATTGCAGCCCTCCTACGGCAAGTGGTGGTGTCTCAATATGAATAAGAATTTTTTTAGAAGGGATGTCAAAAAATAAAGCAATTTACAAAACAAACATTTTGAATTATATCTTACATGCTTTGTAAATGAAAATGAGGTACCTAGTGAGATGAACGATTTACAGAAATTGAAACAAAAGTTGAAAATGAGAAAAATTGTCACTTTTCAGAAAACTCATAAAATTTAGTGAGGCATTTGCCTCACTTGCCTCAATGGTAGTTACGGCCTTGGTTTCCAAGTCAAAAAACAGATTTCGTGGAAGAATGTAAGTTGAAAAGTAAGTTTTGACAGTTTTGATTATTTCAAGCTTTTCGTACTAAATGGACAACTTTTAAAAATAATTTCCAAAATCTAAGGCAATGAAGAAGGTTAAATGACAATGTAAGAGAGAAGGTCTCACTGGAAATGAAAAATTCCACCATTCTCTAATCTTTGTGGGTTTTTTTTTATTTAGGAGAAATTAGTTAAAAATCTACTATATTCTGTAAGTTAAGGTTGCTATGATGTGGTCATGATAAAAAATCCCATCAAAGTCCAAGAAAGTATTTAAATTATCTCTCTCAGAAAGGCTATAGTTGTTAAATGTCACGGCGTTTTGTTCGTTTTGATTTATGACATCGTTGTCTACTTACTTTCTTTAGTCTTACTGTGTCTATAATGCAAGGTTTGTCAGAGGGTGGACAGTTATAATATTAGTTGGAATATACTTATTTCCTTAGTACTTGGTTTTTTAAAATTAAAATTACGTAATTTTTACTTCAATTCTAATAAAATTGTATCCATTCTCGGTCCATTTTACTTTATCTGAATTCTTGTTCAAACCAAATTTGACTAGGGAATGTCTTGAAGGGATTATTTGAATATATATGGAGGAGTTATATGAGTTTTTAGTCATTTCAGAATTTGAACGTGACAATGCCTATTTTTCCAGGCCATCCAAATAGAAAACAGTGATACTACACTTCACGTGACTCCGACATTGGTTGATTTTTTTAACCACAAATTTTGATAGGATATTATATTTATGAGACTAGGAATTGATGAAATAATGAAGTCAATTAGTAAGGATAATGCTGATTAACTTTCCTCGTTAATTTTATTCATTGATATCAAAACCACATAATAATCGACAAAGATATCTGCGGTCATATTTCTGATTTATCTATTTCAAATACAACTATATACATATTTATTGAAATATTTAACACAATTTCTTGCTATTTCCTATCATTGTATCATTGTCTCTAAATTTGGTTGACACGGCCTCATTTTTATAACTTTTTGAATGTATTTCATTAATCGTTTAAGGTCAATAAAATTTTTGACGCATCGTAAAGTGCATCATATCATCGTCGTATAATGCAAACATATGAATAAGTGCTCATATCCTACCGTTTTAAAACATATTAAAATTAAATTATTATTACATTCCCGATCTTAAGAACGTTAAGTACATTAGTAACTACCACACTAATGCAGCTTTACGATGATATTTTGATTCTAATTATTTACCTGTTGAACAGAGACGCTATTACTAATTAGCAGAATAATTATGTCTTTTATTATGTCTTTTATTCGACTGTGTTTTGCTGTTCTAAAGTGTTGACGTAGAATAAGGAATGACCAATTCTGCATTTTTAAGGTAGTCACGTCGCGCATTTATATTTCGACTTCCTTGTAAACACCTGCAGCAAACAATTCTTTATAAACATCAGAAACCAATATCTATTTTGTTAGAGGACAAAATATTTCTTGCGGCAATGACGTCTTATTTGCCTTTTATATCATTTTTTAAACGTGATATAGTCATGCACTGACAATCTGATAATACTGTGACAAAAAAATTTGAATTTACCATAGACTAGTATGCATGTAAGAGTACATGTACCAATGGAGATCTTTTTTTCAGGTCGGAGAACAATGCAAATGAGGATACGGTGGGGTTTTTTGTTTTGTTTTTGTTGTTTTCTTTGTTGGTTTTTGTTTTGGTTTTTTTTTACAGTAAAATACCGCAACCATTGTCAAATATACTGTTGTATACAATTACAGTATTCGTTGAAAATTAAAAATTCTATTCATTCAGAATTATCATCCTTTTTAAATAATTGATTATGAAGTTGATAAGATAAATGTCTGATACTAATTACTGCATTTTAAAGTCTTATGTTCGTATATGTCTGTACATTGTAGTAGCAAATTCATTCTAGATATCGCTAAATGACGTGACGTTACAAAACAAAAAAATGACGTTCCTATTGCATTTTTCTAAGAAAACATTGCCATATTTCAAGACCTCGTTTTAAAAAAGTGTAATAAATATTGAAAAAAGAAAAACGGTTATGTAAAGCTTAAAGTCTATACTATCTATGATAAAAATAGCGTTAATATTTTGCAAGAGGCATTTTTTGATGGTTCGTGGACTTAACAATCTAACTTTGGGGGGGGGGGGGGGAATAACTGTCGATTAATCGGCATTTTTAACATTTTTTTTTTTTAGACTGAACCCATCATATTTATTCCAGCAGTCAGACGTGTCGATTAGTGTCCCAGTTAACATTTTCTTACTTGTGGGATATGAGTGTCTATCAATTCACATAATCAATATAATACACCTTTCTAATTGATCCTTTAAAGTTTGTATAAAGACAAAGACAAATATGGTGGTTCTTGAAATCTTGACACACGGCTTTTTCACACGCGTTGACATTTTATTTTATTTTTTTTTTTAAACATGAGCACACTCGTTACCGCAAAATATTTATACCCCCCGCTTGAAAAGCGGGAGGGTATATAGTAATTTTCATTGTACGTCCGTCCGTCCGTCCGTCTGTTACGCTTTTACCCATCTCTTATCCGCAACTCCTCTCATACCACTGAATGAAAATTGATGAAACTTTCACAGAATCTTTATTACATATTGCCATTGTGCACCTCCTATTTTACTTTTTGATCCGACACATATTTTGGGTTTCCCGGCCACAGGAAAACATTGACTTTTTCACCAGTTATAACCATATGGGAGGCGGGGGGTATCATTTAGTGAGCTCATCGCTCACAGTACCTCTAGTTTCATTGGATATTATTTCTCGAACAGTTATAATTATTTTTCTGTTTCAATATTTTGCGGTAACGACTATGCTCTATGCGAAAACCACAATTAACTGAGTAAAATTTGAGCATTTTTCCGAAAAACCTCAAACCATGTTGCTATTTAGAATTTAGTTTGAGATCGTAATGTCCGGTTTTGACGAAATTGTTTGCAGTGAAATGTGTCAATGTTCAAGCACAAGTACTTGTGGACAGTACTAGAAATATAATTCATGACAAAAAAGAAAAAAAAATATTTTGACCAGGGGTGTAAATAGGGGGGGGGGGGGGGGGGGGGGGGGGAGTGGGGGGCTGTCCACAAGTACCTGTGTGTTCAAGGTTGATAATAACCCAAAACATATTTTTTAAAGCCCTTTTCAAAATTTACATATTTGCTAGTCCAAATAAGGCATGTTAAATGTGGGTCGAACTCTTTAAAACAATATAACCATTACATACATTTTTAAATCGTCTGATTATTAGAACAGGCAACTCCCTTATTTGGCAAGTTCTCAATTTGTCCGAGTTTTTTTGGGGAGGTCACTGGCTTTTTATGTAGATTCAGTCGTGTGTAGACTTATGTTTACATGTAACTTTCAGAAATTTGTCATATTTTTTTTTAAATTCACACCAACCGAGTAAATTTAAATTTACGATAATTCATAACTGTACACAGATGAAATGCATGTACAACTTTTATATATATATATATATTCATTGAAATCACGAGTTTGAAGACGCGTTTTTTCAGTTCCATTATGAAAAATTTAAGGTAAAGAGAATTTCTTGTCTATATCTTTTTAGTATAACCAAATACCATGGTTAATATTTTGATAGATGATAGCAATTTGTTTCAAATTTTCATGTCTTCTTAATGGATTTTTGACATCTCAAGCAAAGTTTAAAAATTTGCGTGGGGTTTGACAAATTGTGTTTGAGCACAGAGAAACAGGGGTGCTGTTTTAACAAAAAAGGAAAAGGGGAAAACGCCCTTTTTTCTATGAGATTTCAACATGTTCAATATTTTAAAAACATACATATGTAGAATAAAAGCCGTTCTCGTAAAAATTTTCCCAGTATCTATCGAAGCTTTTTTTGTGTCTGATGACTTGATGAATAAAAAATATTATTCATGTCCAGTACAGTACGGCTCGACCAAAATGACATCAGAGCCCGATCCCGAGTCTAAATGCGTACAAATGTACAGGTGCTACAAATCACACTTTTCGTGTTCATGTATGTCGTGTTATGTTGAAAGCACTAAATGTATAATAAGAAATTAATGTTATATCATTGTTAAATGTTTATCTTATTAAGTTTGGGAATCATTTTTAAATTATCAAAGACAAGAGACATATAAAATCAAAATATATTTACCTCGCTCTACGAAACAACGTACAGAATATCTCGTGTCTGAAATTGAAACAAATATACGAAAACATGGATTAAATAATTATATATACTTACTATCATGGAAAAGGGTAAATATCCAGTGAATGTAACGTATATATCTATATTAACAGTTTCACTTGTAAGTTTCACGCCCGAATGTGGAATATCACTGTTGAAGTCCTCACTCTCACTCTAATGGAAATGATGAGCGCGCATGGGCCGTTAGCCTAGGGGGGAATAAGGTGACAAGACGTAAACAGTGGCGAATAAAAACTTTTTGTGCCGACGAAGACCAACGTCGTAATTAATTAATTAATGTTATCATGACAAAAAGACAACGATCAGCATTTTTTTTTTATTTTTGCAGTAAGATTGATCTATTTATTACATGCATGGAATCTTCAAGAGACGCATTGTTCCGAGGATGTGGTTAAAAATATCGTGTAGCTCTTACTAGGTTGATATAAATCTATCATAATCTTAATTTTGATTTCTCCACTTTATAATGACCCTGTCATATATCTACTGATCATATGCGTTTTTTCCTTAATAAATCTATCAGATCACCTCGTTTCATGTCGCGTCCAACCAATACGACGCAATACAGTTTTGAAAGAAGAAAATGGGTCGCGCAGTTTATTTTGACTTTGAATATAATCTAGTACATGTAAAAGTTGCAATGCAAAATTATATACTGAAGTGGAAGATCTAGACACTTATTTTGCCTCCTATTTGTGAAAATGTTTCTCTCTCTCTCTCTCATACGGAGTTCAAAGTATAACTGCTCACTTTCATTATAATTTTATTTCTGTCACACCAGTTTAAAAAAATATTTTATCTATTGATTAAAAAAAAATGCTGACTTACAAATTTCATCCCTTTAAATAACTTTTAAAATGTTTCTAAATAATTTTCTACTCCTTCATTATACAAACTTTAATTTATAGGCCTATAGTAATCAAATTAAACGGAAAGACCTGACTTTTGTCCTGTGAAAAGAGCTACATGTATTTGTTGCATTTATCCTATTAGCATATGTTTCTCAGTAAGTTACCTCGTTTGTATTAAATATTTGAGAATTGGTCAGCTTTATTAAGATTTTAACCATTAAAAAAATATATCATTTAGTTCTTAGATTGCTGCTTTTAATAATTAATATACACGCATGACCAATAAAAAGAGCAATGGTCAAACACAAACTTTAAAATATAAAATTTGACAGACTGCAATTCCTATAATTCCTATTTAAACCATAAGTATATATATTCAAATAGTTTTACATGAAACTATTTTTACATTCTGTGGCGGAAAATTTTCTAGCATTCAAGTGGAACCCTCACAAAAAAGATTCGAATTGGGAGGGGGGGGCTGTTGCTTAAATATTACGTAAATGAAATCAAATGTCATCTCAAAGTTTAAACATAATTTACAAACTATATTAGGGTCCATTAGACACTGTTCTTTAGAATTACTGAATTCATATATAAATGGGCACAAAAAATCTGAAAATGTGGTTTATGTCAGATTGCGGTGTAGCTGCAGATCTGTAGCGTTATGGTTTTATATATTTGTCTATGACCATAACGCTACAGATCCCGTAATGCAAAAAAGGTGCAATTTACGGCGCAATATTTTTTGCGCACTTTTGGGGAGAATTTCTCCACTTTCCAGCATCGGTCAATTAACTACCTTTCACTTTCCAATTCTAGGCACATTATTTATTAACTAATCTGTATTTTTATCCCGCTCCCAACCCTTTAAGTCGTCTCTACAAGTGATATACTCCCTTGATTAAAATTATTCGTTCGATTGTTATGGTCAAAGACAAATATATAAAACCATAAAGCTACAGATCTGCTGCTAGTTGCGGTGAAATTTTCGACGGTGAAAATAAAGTAATGATTGGGCTTACGGTAAAAAAGAGAAACATTTAGGCAGTGTAGAACCTCGTTAAAAGATAAACGAATTCTTCACTTTGTAATATATTGTGTAAAATATTCTCAATGAATGTTGGGGGCAATAACTCGACATAGTTTAATTCTCGCAGAGAAGCTCTCCTATTTCTAGAGGTACGTTTAGTATGTAGGTGTTTACAAGTCCCATGTCAACACTAACCGACTGGGGATCCAATGTTTATATCCTAGAAGTAGAATTTTACTTTATATCTTAATACCATGTTCCTTAAATTATAAATCTTCCAGCGTTTAGAAATTCAGGGTATCGTAATACAGAAATGGCCTTACAAAGTGAAACAATGAAGGGGAAACTTGCCTTGGTCTCCAAGAAATCGAAGTGTGAAGTGATGTTGAGTTATGATCAAGAGGACACAGAAGTTGTCAAAAAATTAAAAGGTTTCATTTTTTAATTTGAGAGATAAATTAATTGTCTAAAAATCTCACAAATGAAGTCGAATTGTGATGTTCGTGCTTTTGATAAAGTCTCTCCATAATTTTACATAGGCCTACACACATCTGTACATCATCACCATCCTGTACTTGTTAAAAAAATGTCCCTTTTTATGCTCTGTAACATTATTGTAGATATGATATTTTTTAACCATTTGAATATATTAATTTTTTAACAGTTTGGATGGTAAATGGTTATTTTTATCACTTACATTGAAGTTCATTTATGTAATTTTTTTGTTTTCTTATTTTGACTGTATACCAACATGGTGATGTCAATAAATTGAATTGAATTTATCACATATGACATTTTTACAGAAATGATTAGTAAGAAAGGAATTCACGTCTGGATGGCAGATACAGATATAACAGCAGGCACGGATATCTTCAATGCTATCGGTAGAATCATAGTAGATTGTAAGGTATGTGAACCCTTCATTCAATTCAGTGTGTATATAATGATCTAACAATCAGTATGAGAAACATAAATCAGTATATGATTTAATGATAAATTTTTTTTGCTGACAATATTATTGTATTGACCATAAACTTTCGAAATGATATGACTTTGAACAAGACTATTCTTGTTTCAGCAACTTGTTTGTCAATAATTTACCTCGTGTTAGATATTATTCAGATTACTACCAATATAAAGCCTGAATTTGTGTTACATTTTCTTGAGTTAGATATTCGTCTTCATCATGAGCCCTGCCTCAGTCAGTTCCAAACTATGTCAGGATCAGCTGGCTTTGGCATATGTGTCCAAAAAGAATATTTACCCTGTACAGCTGAGTGACAGAGAAGAGTTACTTAATCATATGGACAATGGAATGTAAGTATAGGTATTCTTATAGATTTTGTCCTTAAGCTTAGAAAAGACCTCATTGATAGATTGAAAATGGTCACAATAAGTTAACAGTGATTGAATCTCAAAATCTATACTCAAAACGGATTGGTAAAGAAGGTAAAACATGAACCCTGGAAATATAAAACATGGGACCAGGTGCCTACCTTTAGCAGCTGGCTGCTGCTGGTGTAAAATAAATATTGTGTCATTTGTTACAGCTGGAGTATATTCTTACACCATCCTTGGACCAAATTGTAACTTATTTTGAGTTCAGCAAGATTGCTCATTTCTAAATCTTATTTACAAAAGGTCTTTCCATTTTGCATAAATGTCACTAATCTAATTTATACAAAACTGAAGTGAACACCAAATTGATCATCATACATGTATTTTAAGTATTCTGTTGGTTGATAAAATGTAATTATATTTATCTGTGGGTTATGACTAACAGTTTAACTGTAGTTTAAGAATAAATGATATGGAGATAACGAACAGTATTCAATATCAAATTCCATAAAACAATACAACATTGGAGCAGAGCAAACACGGACCTCTAAAACATCAGAGGTGAGATCAGGTGCCATGGAGGAGTAAATAAAATAAATTTCTCCTTAGTCTCATAATTGAATCATGAAAAAAAATTCAGTGAAACACTAAGTATTGAGAAAGAAATTAGAATAAACTTGACAATGTAAAACCAATTTTTTTCTCTATTGAACTATGATTGGAGTTTGAGAACTGTGTCACATTAATTTATCTTTCAACTTTTTCCCAAATTTTTTTTTTTTTTTTTTTTATTTCACAAATGCATGTACAATAAAGTGCAACAACAAATCAGCAAATATTTTACATATACATTGCAAAAAAGCAAAAATCTTAGGATTGCTGATTGAAAGGAAAGAAAGGAAAGGAAGGAGAGAGTGAGGAGAGAAGCTGCTTGTTAACAAATTATAAACATTTATTTGATCTGAGACACAGTTGTTGATTCTAAAATCGAGCAAAATTGTCAGAGCCTTCTCATTATAAAAAGCCAAATTTCCCATTCTTTATGAAAATCTTCAAGTTTACAGTTTTTGGTAGCTATATACTTCAAAGTTGAAAGATGAGTTTTGATATCTATAAGTAGTCCATGAATTGATAATTTTTCATTAAGACACCGCTTTTTGTATATATAGGATTTGAGAATTAGAAATATCTGGTACAAATTCCTACAACTTGAATTAAGATCTAATCCCAAAATAAAAGAACAAGGATCCCTTGGAATAACCATATCCCTTGTCTGACAAAATTCAAAAAATAAATTGATGAGATCTTGAACACAGGGACATTCCCACAGTATAAATTTTTTTTATTTAGGAAACTTCAGCTTGCTGGTTTTGAATGGTTTTCATTGTGTAACAATACTGAAAGTGAAAGTAAAGAATTAGTGGATAAAGTCTGTGAAGAAGTTCAAAGTGAGCTTGAGGCAGAGAAGGCAGATGGCAGTAAGCCAGGTTTGTCTTAAAACATCTTCTTTCTGCAGTTTTCTTTTTTTTTTTTGCTTGAATAATTTTTATTCTATTTAAATTTTTCATTTCTTGATTGTAACCTAGTTTGTACATTAAAACATGCTTATAACTAAGATCCAGGGATGGACAATTTTGCTTGATTATAAACATTACTCAGTATTTGATACTAGTATATCCATTGGCATGTTATAAATCCAAAGGGAATATTTATTTTATATTTAAAAATATCTTTTTGTTTTGATAAGTTAAATGTATATTTTAAAACATTCTAAAATCTTTGACACATCCAGAAACAAAAGATGCAGCAAAGACACAGGGTAAATACAAAAAATAAATAAGTATCCACTACTCTTTGATACATTGATTTGCTAACTCTATCATTGATACTTCATTCTTCAATTAGCACATACACATTTTATCTCAGGTGACTGTACCCTTTCTAACAAAAAGATCTGTATTTGATCAAATATCACTCTGTAACTCAATAAAATAGGAAGATGCACATTCTTTTTTCACTCAACTGGTGTGGATTGCTCTTTACTCATAAAGTTTTCTTCCTGACAGAAAACGAGTATTGTTACAATTATAAGGTTAAGGAGGGGGGATTCCTTACTCAAAGAGCATCAATATAAAGTAGAGACTTTAAGTGCTTTCATTTCTTATAAATAAGTTTCCTATAAAAGTCCAGGTATTGAATTGGAGACTTTCTGAAATTGTAAGATGTTCATGAATTTTGAAGAAAATGAGTGTAAAGAATTCAAATGTGAGCCCACCCCTCAATCCAAAAAATAAATGGATAAATACTTGATATCACGATTACTTAACTTAGCGGAACTCTTTTGTGATGGAGGTATAGGAAACGTCTGTTGGATGGGGGCAAATGTAATACTGAATACAATGCAAGATCAGTGTAGAATTCATAAGGACATGCAGATAAGTAAAAAATCCGGCTGGAATACCATGCTAAACAATCGCTGAACCAGCCTAATAAATTTTTGAGAGTAGCTTATCCTAAAATGTTACATTTTTTATAACTATGCATACTCTTTTCATTTAATTTTCATTGAAATTGTCACATTTTAAAGCTGCTAAGTTATTCTAAACTTTCCTTATTTGACAATCTACTATTTGGAGTTTAATCCTTGGCAATGCATTGTACTTTCGAATTTGGTATAAAATTGTTTGAATCATTCGATTGTCACTACTGTAAACAATGTCATGTGCCCCAGAAATCTTGCGAGATTTAGAACTTTACTTGACTCCCTAGCAAAAGAGTGGTAGTAAGTTAGATAAATGTGAGGTACTCGCGATATTACATATTGTAATTTAAAGAAGTTCTTTCATTACATAATTGAACTTTTTTTAACAGAGGTTGGGTTCTAGGCAAATATTGAAAAACAGCTTTTTATGGACATATCTTTGAACAAAATTTCAGGAATTGAGAATAATGGCATGTACATGCAATTCAAGACTGGTCATTATACATGGACAAATGAGAAAATTGCTTAACTTTGATAGATATATGCTTTCAGAACTCAAGTGATATTTGATATATTTTCAACCAAAATGGAACAGTCTTTATTTTTCAGGAATTCACAGGGCTGAAAAACCCTAGTATATGTATATATGTATTGCCAACTCTAAACCACTATTGACACTAACAACACATACACTTGATCAAAGTAAAAATGAGGCCATTTCTACATTTCAAAGATATATTCTTTTAGTTAATGAAAATGTTTCTTGCCTTCATCTTAAAAATCTGAATGGGACCAAATTCAGTGCTGATATACATGTACTTACAGCAGGGGATGCTCACTCCTCCATGGCACCTGATCCCACCTCTGATGTTTTGGGGTCCATGTTTGTTTTGCTCCTATTTTGTATTGTTGTATGGACTTTTGATCTTGAATATTGTTTGTTATCTCCATATTTGCTAGGTGCTATATGAAAGCTAGGTGTCCAAGTTTATATCTCATATTTTTTTTTGACATCAAAGTAGGTTACACAGAGCTTATGCAAAGAAACTTCTATATTTAGGTGAAATACCCCCCAAAAAATTGGTTAATAAAATAAAGTTGAAAGTAAGATTGAAAATTTTCACCTTGAGAAATTTTCTATCAAAATGAAGCTGAAATCTTAAGTAGAGATGCTATTTCAATATTGTTACCATTGATAAAAATACAACAAAATTGAAGTCAATCCCTTACATGTACTTATGTGAATGTTAGTATGAAAGGGATTTTTTAAAAAAAAAATAAACAATTAAGATTTTAAGTTTTTTTTTCAATTTCAGACCTGATGAAATCTATGAAAAGACAGAAAACTTTAACTAACTTGAATAAGAGTCTGTCAAAAACAAAGATTTCCAGAATTTATCTTGAAGATGCCAGTACATACTGGAATCAGTGTTTTGGGAAAGAAACAGCTATCAGTTGGGAAAAGTATGTATCTTAAAAAGGGATAGAAATATTCTAAATCCAAAGATTTTACTCATTTGCCTTAATGAAATTATGCTTGAGTATTATATAAATATTTCATGTAGTTGAGTGTAACATTGAAAATTTTCACCCCAAGAAAACTATTGTCAACCAAGGCTTCTTAGTAAGTTCTTACCACAGTAAAGTGATATCCAGGAAATGTTTGTATTGTATGCAAAAAAAATTGGAAGTGAAAGAAAGTTGAAAAAAGTTGGCCACTACCCCCCAACCCCACGAAATAGGATTTTCGAGTTTGGGCAATTCCCCCCCCCCCCTTTTTTTTGCTTTTACGGGTGAGTAAAAAAATTTTTTATGCCCCTCCCCCCCCCCCCCCACTTTCAAAAACGATGCTACGTGCCTGTAGTAGATGAATAGATAAAACTACTTGAAACCGATTATACTCGTCGACAACTTGGTGCAGTGGTTAGAGTGTTTGCTCTAGAGTCACAGAGTAAGGAGTTGATCCTTACACAGCTGCAGAACTGTAGCTCTCTGCTTGAGAAAATTCGGACAGATAAACAGAGTTTTTTTAGGTCACCTGAGTAAACTCAGGTGACCTATTGCTATCCGTTTTCGTCTGTCGTCGTTCGTCGTACGTCGTACGTCGTTCGTAAACTTTTGAACATTTTCAGCTTCTTCTCTGCAACCACTGAACCAATTTCAACCAAATTTGGCACAAAGCATATATGGGTGAAGGCGAACAAAAATTGTGAATTTCATGATCCCTGCCCCCCTGGGGCCTGAGGGGTGGGGCCAAAACCACTAAAATTAATGCAATCTTTAAAAATCTTCTTCTTTACTCCTGGACATCAAGCAGTCAAACTGTTTGCATGATTGTAATCAGCACTGAGTCCTTTACCAAACTTGTGAAATTCATGGCCCTGGGGTCAGGGGTTCTAGTGCTAGGGCAGGGCTAAATAAGTATATAGTGAAAATGCATTATTTCTTTGAAAATCTTCTTCTCTGCTCCTGGGTATTAAATAAACCAACTAAGTAGATAGTTATGATGAGCAAGAGTGCCTCTACCAAAATTTTGAATTTTATGGCCCCAGGGTCGGGGTTCTGGTGTTAGGGCGGGGCTCTATTGATTATATACAGTGAAAATACATGATTTCTTTGAAAATCTTCTTCTCTGCCCCTGAGTATTAAATAAACTAACTAAGTGCATAGTTATGATGAGCAAGAGTGCCTTTATCAAAATTGTGAATTTTATGGCCCCAGGGTCAAGGGTTCTGGTGTTTGGGGGGGGGGGCTCTATAGATTATATAGTAAAACAAGAGGCCCACGGGCCTTATAGGTCACCTGAGTATTGTGCAACAACTTTCAAATTATTAAATTTGGTTCCTGTTTTAAACCAGAGGCCATGAAATTCGCAATTCACAATATTGAAAGAGGCACCATTGCTTATCATAATTATAGACTTAGCATGCTTACTCTGTTTACTTAATACCAAAAGGTAGATCAGAGTAACATAGAGAAAATGCACTTCTAGCTGCTTTATAACTAGTTGTGCACATCATCCCAAAGGAACCCCTGATCTTGGGGCCACATATTTCAAAATTTTGCAAATTTTATCATAAAATGGTTGATTAATACCTAAGAGCAGATTTCAAAGCATTAATTTTATTTTCAGACTATGTACCACCACCCCACCCCCCAACCCAGGAAGGGGGAGCATAAAAAAATAACCATTTTGCTAGATGCCCCTTCCTCCATCATAAATATATATTCTTAGATCATTGGCATAAAACCCAGGAGCAAAGAAGAAGATTTTCAAAGAATTAATGCATTTTCACTATATGATCAATAGAGCCCCGCCCTAACACCAGAACCCCTGACCCTGGGGCCACAAAATTCACAATTTTGGAAGAGGCACTCTTGCTCATCATAACTATGTACTTAGTTAGTTTATTTAATACCCAGAATCAGAGGAGAAGATTTTCAAAGAATTAATGCATTTTCACTATATAACCAATAGTGCCCCGCCCTAACACCAGAACCCATAACCCTGGGGCCACAAAATTCACAATTTTGGAACAGGCACTCTTGCTCATCATAACTATGTACTTAGTTAGTTTATTTAATACACAGAATCAGAGGAGAGGATTTTCAAAGAATAAATGCATTTTCACTATATAACCAATAGTGCCCCACCCTAACACCAGAACCCCTGACCCTGGGGCCACAAAATTCACAATTTTGGAAGAGGCACTCTTGCTCATCATAACTATGTACTTAGTTAGTTTACTTAATACCCAGGAGCAGAGAAGAAGATTTTCAAAGAAATCATGCATTTTCACTATATAATCTATATAGCCCCGCCCTAACACCAGAACACCTGACCCTGGGGCCACAAAATTCATAATTCTGGAAAAGGCACTCTTGTTCATCATAACTATGTACTTAGTTAGTTTATTTAATACCCAGAATCAGAGGAGAAGATTTTCAAAGAATAAATGCATTTTCACCATATAACCAATAGTGCCCCGCCCTAACACCAGAACCCCTGACCCTGGGGCCACAAAATTCACAATTTTGGAAGAGGCACTCTTGCTCATCATAACTATGTACTTAGTTAGTTTACTTAATACCCAGGAGCAGAGAAGAAGATTTTCAAAGAAATCATGCATTTTCACTATATAATCTATATAGCCCCGCCCTAGCACTAGAACCCCTGACCCTGGGGCCGTGAATTTCACAATTTTGGTAGAGGACTCAATGCTCATTACATTCATGCCAACAGTTTGCCTGCTTGATGTCCAGGAGTAAAGAAGAAGATTTTTAAAGATTGCAATAATTTTAGTGGTTTTAGCCCCACCCCTCAGGCCCCAGGGGGGCGGGGACCATAAAATTCACAATTTTTGTTCCCCTTCACCCATAGATGCTGCATACCAAATTTGGTTGAAATTGGTTCAATGGTTTCAGAGAAGAAGCTGAAAATGTTCAAATGTTAACACACGACGCACGACGCACGACACACGACACACGACGACGGACGAAAACGGATAGCAATAGGTCACCTGAGTTACTCAGGTGACCTAAAAATACATGAATTCTTTGAAAATCTTCTTCTCTGCTCCTAGATATTAAATAAACTAACTAAGTGTAAAGTTATGATGAGCAAGAGTGCCTTTATCAAAATTGTGAATTTTATGGCCCCAGGGTCAAGGGTTCTGATGTTGGGGGGGGGGGGCTCTATAGATTATATAGTAAAAATACATGAATTCTTTGAAAATCTTCTTCTCTGCTCCTAGATATTAAATAAACTAACGAAGTGCATAGTTATGATGAGCAAGAGTGCCTTTATCAAAATTGTGAATTTTATGGTCCCAGGGTCAAGAGTTCTGGTGTTGGGGGTGGAGGGGGAGGCTCTATTGATTATATAGTGAAAATACACGAATTCTTTGAAAATCTTCTATGCTCCTAGGTATTAAATAAACTAACTAAGTGCATAGTTATGATGAGCAAGAGTGCCTCTACCAAAATTGTGAATTTTATGGTCCCAGGGTCAAGGGTTCTGGTGTTGGGGGGGGGGCTCTATAGATTATATTGTAAAATACATGAATTCTTTGAAAATCTTCTTCTCTGTTCTTAGGTATTAAATAAACTAACTAAGTGCATAGTTAAGATGAGCAAGAGTGCTTTTACCAAAATTGTGAATTTTAGGTCCCAGAGTCAGGGGTTCTGGTGTTAGGGCAGGGCTCTATAGATTATATAGTAAAAATACATGAATTCTTTGAAAATCTTCTTCTCTGTTCTTAGGTATTAAATAAACTAACTAAGTGCATATTTATCATGAGCAAGAGTGCTTTTACCAAAATTGTGAGTTTTATGGTCCCAGTGTCAGGGGTTCTGGTGTTGGGGGGATGGGGAGGGGGCTCTATTGATTATATAGTGAAAATACATTAAATCTTTGAAAATTTTCTTCTCTGTCTCTGGGTATGAAGCAGATGAACTATATAGTTATGATGAGCATTAGGGCCCTAATCTTGCAGAATTGTGAATTTCAAGGCCCCAGGGTCAGGGGTGGGGGTGGGGCTCTACTTATATACTGAAAATAAATTGTTTGAAATCTGCTCCTTTGTATTTATAAAACATTTATTTTTAGCTCACCTGAGCCGAAGGCTCAAGTGAGCTTTTCTGATCACATTTTGTCCGTCGTCCGTCCGTCCGTCTGTCTGTCCGTCCGTCTGTCCGTCTGTCTGTCCGTCTGTAAACTTTTCACATTTTCGACTTCTTCTCAAGAACCACTGTGCAAATTTTGACCAAACTTGGTACAAAGTATCCTTGGGTGAAGGGAAATTTAAATTGTTAAAATGAAGGGACATATCCCCTCGCAAGGGGAGATAATCAAGAAAAGAGATAGATAGGGTTGGGTCATTAAAAAATCTTCTTCTCAAGAACCACTGAGCCAGTAAAGCTGAAACTTATGTGGAAGCATCCTGGGGTAGTGTAGATTCTAAATTGTTCAAATCATGACCCCCGGGGGAAGGGCGGGGCCACAATGGAGAATCAAAGTTTTATATAGAAATATATAGGAAAAATTTTGAAAATCTTCTTCTAAAGAACCACTGGGCCAGAAAAGCTGAAACTTATGTGGAAGCATCCTAGTGTAGTGTAGATTCTAAATTGTTCAAATCATGACCCCCGGGGGAAGGGCGGGGCCACAATGGGGTATCAAAGTTTTACATAGAAATATATAGGAAAAATCTTTGAAAATCTTCTTCTCAAGAACCACTGGGCCAGAAAAGCTAAAACTTATGTGGAAGCATCCTGGTATAATGTAGATTCTAAATTGTTCAAATAATGACCCCCGGGGGAAGGGCGGGGCCACAATAGGGAATCAAAGTTTTATATAGAAATATATAGGAAAAATCTTTGAAAATCTTCTTCTCAAGAACCACTGAGCCAGAAAAAGTGAAGCTTATGTGGAAGCATTCTGGGGTAGTGTAAATTCTAAATTGTAGGAATCATGACCCCCGGGGGAAGGGCGGGGCCACAATGGGGTATCAAAGTTTTACAAAGAAATATATAGGAAAAATCTTTGAAAATCTTCTTCTCAAGAACCACTGGGCCAGAAAAGCTGAAACTTATGTGGAAGCATCCTGGTATAATGTAGATTCTAAATTGTTTAAATAATGACCCCCGGGGAAGGGCGGGGCCACAATAGGGAATCAAAGTTTTATATAGAAATATATAGGAAAAATCTTTGAAAATCTTCTTCTCAAGAACCACTGGGCCAGAAAAAGTGAAGCTTATGTGGAAGCATTCTGGGGTAGTGTAAATTCTAAATTGTAGGAATCATGACCCCCGGGGGAAGGGCGGGGCCACAATGGGGAATCAAAGTTTTATATAGAAATATATAGGAAAAATCTTTGAAAATCTTCTTCTCAAGAACCACTGGGCCAGAAAAGCTGAAACTTATGTGGAAGCATCCTGGTATAATGTAGATTCTAAATTGTTTAAATAATGACCCCCAGGGAAGGGCGGGGCCACAATGGGGAATCAAAGTTTTATATAGAAATATATAGGAAAAATCTTTGAAAATCTTCTTCTCAAGAACCACTGGGCCAGAAAAAGTGAAGCTTATGTGGAAGCATTCTGGGGTAGTGTAAATTCTAAATTGTAGGAATCATGACCCCCAGAGGAAGGGCGGGGCCATTATAGGGGAATCAAAGATTTACATAGAAATATATAGGAAAAATCTTTGAAAATCTTCTTCTCAGGAACCACTGGGCCAAAAAAGCTGAAACATATGTGCCCATGGAAGGATCATGGGGTAGTGTAGATTTCAAAATGTCTACATTATGATCAGTTGGGGTAGGGTGGGGATGCATTATGTATAACAAGGGGGAAATCTGATAAAGAACAGAATGGTCAAAGCTTCTCAGGTGAGCGATGTGGCCCATGGGCCTCTTGTTTGATAGGAAATTTTAAGGGTGCCTTTTTAACATTTGTGCAATGTGTGGACCTAGGGTCAGGGATTTATTTCACATTGTTAGGGGCACTACTGATTATGGCTGAATATTACTGATTAGTTGGAATGCATTTTTGTTCCCCAACCTTGCGTATTCAGTACCCCTGCGAGGTGATCATGAATAATTCATGAATTTCCTTGAATTTTTCATGAATTTTATTCATGAAATGTTCATGAAACGTTCATGAAGATCCTATGAACTTATAATTGGACATTTTCAAATCAATAAACCAAGCTAAGCAACTGCTAAGTGTATTGTTATGATGATCAATGGTGCCTCTTTCAAAATTGTGAATGCCATATAGCATCTGGCTTAAAACATAAATCAAATTCAATAACTGGAAAGTTGTTGCAGAATGCTCAGGTGACCTATAAGGCCCGTGGGCCTCTTGTTTGTTTTTATTTTATCTGTCCAAATTTTGTCAAGCAGAGAGCTACAGTTCTGTAGCTAATCCTTACACCGCTGTTCTAATTCCACACGGCAGGGCGTGGACACTGGATGAGACCGTATAAATGGAGGTCCCATGATACACTTAGGTGCTGGCAAAAAAATACTTATCTGCTCTAAGATTGTTAAGTACCGAGGTCAGGTCTAAATTGGCAGGCCTCTACCGCAAGTGCTGGCATCTCGATTGAGTGAAAATTTCAGGGATGTTAAAAAACGCAGTAAAATCGATATGTTGTACAAGACATGAAACATATACAGCATATCCATCAAATCTAGTTGACTGCATTTATTAAGTAATGCGGCCTGTTTCAAGCAATTGACGATTTAACTAATGTTCAGGAATATATACATATTATCGGTCTCATCCCAAGGCAGGTCTCAACGTCCCACAGTGGGATTCGAACCCGCGACGTAAGGATCAACTCCTTACTTTGCGACTCTAGAGCAAACGCTGTAACCACTGCGCCAGTGCACAGCGCAACAATTTGATTTATTAGATGAAATATCTTTTTGTACAAACCTTATTTCTGATGAGGGATTCTGATTATTAAAAAAATGGTGTTTTAAAGAATGAAAGTGGTCTCATTTATTGGCAATTTCGTAGGTTTAAGAAAGAATGCTACAATTTTTATTAAAAAAATACTAGTAATTCACTTTCAAGAAAAGAAATATTTCCATGTGAAAAAAGAAGCTTTTCTGTCCATGCTCTAGAAACCAAAAAAAAGAGATAATTTTTCACTTGAGGAATACCTTTAGAATAAAGGATATTTTTTTTAAAAGTAAAAAGATACTCTTTTCTTTAAAATAGATGATTTATCAATTTATGATAAAACTGCTTTTCATGAAAATAGTGTGTTAAATAGATAAATATTACCGTACTTTTAATTAAATTTTTTTATAATTTGTCGAGTTTTTGTCACTTTATCCTACCAGATTTAGGAATCAAATTCTGAAAGATTTTAAGGATGATTTTGAGGAGACGTTTGGCGAAAAAGACACTGAATGGCTCTTATCAATTCTCCGACGAGAGATGCTGATGGACACAGGTGACACCATGCTGAAAAAGGAAAACTATCTAGGTAGGTAGGAACAGTTTTCATATATTGAAGTAAAAAGAATACATAAAAAAGATAAAAGCCTATGGATAATTTTAAATGAGCAAAGTTTATTATATTTAGGAAAATATAAAAAATTAAATTGAATAAGAACAAGAACTAGAATATAAAAGACGTTTTACAGTATTATTTTAAAATTAATGATCTTTCCAAAAAGTAAAAAAAAAATATTGTTGTAGCGTTTTGCACTGTTGACGAAGTTATAAATCCGCTATGGTTCAGAATCCAAGAACAAGCGAGAGAGAGTTACGCAATGAGGGAAGTTTTCAGTATGGAATCATCTGTCAGGGTCCAGGCCATTGAAAATTTAGGTAGTACAATTCTCTGGTATTCTTGGACTTTCAGAAAGGCGTGGTATTCTCGACGTTACATAATTAGCATCTGAAAGAAGATGGGTGAACAAGGCGGGCAGAATGCCTATAGCGTCGAATATTAAGAAATCATATTCAGTATGTGAACTGAGTATTTAAATTAACTTCTCATTATTAAAATTTTTAAAATTATGAAAAAAAAATTTTCTGAGAGAACAAAAAATCTCGTTAAAAATTTTTACAAAATGTATTTTATAAAAAAAATAAGATGATATTCGTGGGATTCGAACCCCTAGCAATAAAAATACGACGTACCATACTGCTTTGAGACTAACACGCTAACCACCATGCTACATGGTTCATGAAAATTTCGGACATTTAAATCATGTTTGTGATATGACCCTTGAATTAATGGACTTGAAGTATTTTTCGGAAAGATGCGAATGTTTTGTAATAAAACTGTACTTTTAAGGTATAGTGGGTCTTCGCTCCAAGTTTTTGTAAACAAAAAAATGTATATTTTATTGCAAACCTTTATGATTATCTTTCAAAAAAAATGGAGGGAAGACCCACTCATATTGAAAAATTTTCTTAAAGTATGAGAAAATGATTGATTTTGTTCTTTTTAGTATGTGTATGCTTTTTGGTTGGAATATATTTTCAGTCTTGCCGAGATATTTGTAAATTGTAGAGATTTTACATTAAGTATACTTTAATATAAGATGAAATATCAAATAAAATTTGGATATAATTGAGATTAAATTTTTCACTTCTTATTTGTCGCACTAAAGGCACTTCGTCCGCCTTATCCACCCATCTTCTTTACACAACCTTTCATTCACAGTTGAAATATACATGGGATAGAAATTCTGGCGAATGTGTTAAAACGAGGTTAGCAAGTTAAAGATCTAATGATAGCGTTTCTTACGGCAAAGAGATGGGACTTAATTCGTCTCATCGTTGTCAACAACAATTTAAAGTTGCTGATGTTATTAATTTCTTTACAAATGAGAATCTTTGTCGTCATTTGAGAGACGCTAATTACGTAGCGTTGAGAATGCTACTCCTTATTGAAAGTCCAAGGATGACAGAGAATTGTTCTAATTTGTCAAAAAATGCTTTCATTCGACAAAAAAAAACCCCAAAACGATAAGTTACATAAAGATGACACATTTTTTATCAAAGGCAAATACAAAAGCGCAACAGTGATAGAGGCTTTACTGGACCTGCTAACAGACAGCGATGTTAACATACAAGCTGTGGCCATCATCTCTCTAGCGAGAACAGGGTCCAATGATATCAAAACTATCGTCAACCTTAAGAAGTGTCTGAAATCCAAAGACCGGGTGGTGAGGGAGGCGGCCTGCCTGGCCCTGGGGCATGTCAAGGCCACTCAGGCCGTGGAGGCATTGGTTAATCTGTGGTAATTTTCACTTTAATTATTTTACTATACTTTTTTGCAGTAGAATGTATTTATGAAATTCTTGAATACTATCAAAATTGTAAACTTGAGTTACTCAATTATCAGAGTAAGTTTTTGATATAAAATATTCTATACGTGATGTATTCATTGCAAAGGTTTAACATCTTCCTAAAACGTCATCGGCAATATTTGTTGTTGTGTGTACAGTGTACATGTAGTCTTATTTAAAATTATATTAAATTTTTAGTTTTAATTACATAGCCTTCATAAAAAAAAAATACAGAATTAGCCATAAAATTTGGCCCAGTTATAAGGAATTTATACTGCATCAATAATAGAATCTATGAAACTTTATAATTCCGTCATCTGTTGTCCAATTTACAGAAAATGTAAATGCTTTGGGATTTTTAGCTAACCTGAGCTCAAGTGAGCTTTTTCCGATCACAATTTGTCCGTTGTCTGTCGTCATCGTTGTAAACTTTTCACATTTTCGACTTCTTCTCAAGAACCGCTGGGCCTATTTCAACCAAACTTGCCACAAAGCATCCTTGGGTAAAGGAGATTTAAGTTTCTTCAAATGAAGGGTCACGCCCTGATTCAAGGGGAGATAATTGGAAATTAATGAAAATTTGTTGGTATGTTTTAAAAAACTTCTCAAGAACCACTGTGCCAGGAAAGATGAAACTTATGGGGAAACATCCTCAGGTAGTGTAGATTCAAATTTGTTCAAATTATGACCCCCGGGGTAGGGCGGGGCCTAAATAGCCGACCAAAGATTTACATAGAAATATTTATAGGAAAATTCCTTAAAAATCTTCTTCTCAAGAATAACAAAGCCATAATTGATCATATTTGTATGAAAGCATCCTCAGGCAGTGTAGATTCATGTTTGTTCAAATTATGACCCCAGTGTAGGGCGGAGCCAAAATGGCCAATTAAAGTTTTACATAGACATATATAGGAAAATTCTTTAAAAAATCATCTTGTCAAGAATAGCAAAGCTATGATTGGTCTTGGGACTACTTTAGGATTTAAACTATTCAATAATAAACCAATTTCTACTTTTTCCTAGCCACAGTGCTCAGGTGAGCGATGTGGCCCATGGGCCTCTTGTTTATATAACGATATTATTGTACACAGGTTGATAAACGATATGAACTAAGTAAAAATCATTGATTTTAATTTTTTTAACTTAATTTTAGGAGAAACGATATTATCTCCAATGTGAGAGAGGCAGCTCTTGTTGCTCTGAAAAACATCGGGGGAGAGAAGGCCGCTGAGGCTATTAGAGTCACCACAGTTCTGGAGAGAGAAATCCGGGCTCTAAAGGCATAGTCACAACCCACAGTCTTTCATTGAATGAAATCTCCAAAAAATTAGATATTACATACAATATCTATTAAAAACATTACTGGAGCGATAAGTTTGGTATAATACCATACGACACTGTGACACAAGGTTTAACCAGTCTGTGATAAATATTTTTCTTTTATTTAATATTTTAAATACTGTATAAGTTAGTTAATTACTAGTACACATATATTGTCAGATCTCATATATATTCATTTGTAATATTTTCAAACATGCAATTCTCATTTCTCCCCCAAGTTTCTTTCTATGAAGGACGCATATCGTTTTCATGTCCACATTATTGATCTTAATAGGACAACTGATGTGAAATCAATAGACTTTTTAGATAACAATAAAATCAAGGGTTACAACTTTAAAAAATCTAAAATGTCACAGAAAAGGTAAACCTATGCCTTTTAATTTCCATTACACTTTTCTAGCTGACGGTGCTACATGCACATGTAGTGTCTTACATGTACGTTTAAGATATTTAGTCTGATCATATTTGTCCACCCCCTATGGGGAGTGAGAATGAGCCATACAAATAGTTACCTCATTCTTTCCCTGTGTTGACTTCTATGGTCAGTACTCTAGCCCATGCATATCGCTTGGGATTGTTATTAAAAGATACTCACTGCTATATATTCAATGAATTTTAATAGTTTAGTAAATTCGACATTTAGATATGTCGACGACGTACTGTCAATTAACAATGATAATTTCCATTCCTATGCCGATACGATATATTCTGTGGAGCTTGAGATAAAAGATACCACAGAGTCTGATACATCTGTTTCATACCTGGATATTTTACTTGAAAAAGACATTTATGGTAATCTAACAACCAAACCCTATGATAAAAATGATGACTTTATCTTTTCTATTGTCAACTTCCCTCATTTATGCAGCAGTATATCAGTTGATGAAACAAGACTATCAGCAGCCTCGACGTTTGAAGTCGTCATTTCGTAAGTTCTATGGTCGATACAATGACCTTGTCAGCAAATACAATTTATCATTAAGTCAAATGCTGACTGACGTTTTTCATTCTAAATTGTTAGTCCATTATTTATACACTGATTAAGAATTGACGACGCATTTTTCCGTAATTTCATGATCTTGACAAGGAGTACACGGCGGGTGTGACCGGTCGGCAGGGGATATTCACTCCTCCATGGCACCGGATCCCACCTCTGACGTTTTGGAGGTCCGTGTTTGCTCTGCTCCTGTTTTGTATTGTTTTAAGGATATATATTTTTTGATTGAATAAATAAATCATTTCATAAGTTTATACTGGTTTGAAGTTTTAGTCCAAGTCTGTAAGTCTGTTCTCAGTTTATGGTATTGGAGACTGACTTCCATGGCTTAAGTGTCGAGGATTGTAAAGATGAAAATGGAAGTTTATAAACTTGTTATTTGAGATAGAGAATTGACCATATTTGAATATAAATATTGCACTTTTTTTCTATTTTCTCTGTGTACACATCAAGTTCAATCGATCCCCTAAACTATATTAAATACTTGTTTACATTGTTCATGAAAAATATCATTTTACATGCGAATTTTTGTACAATCTTTTTTTTTTATGAAAAGCATGCATATTGCAACAGAGAAGTAAGCTTGAAGCAAGACAGTCATTTTATGTCGATATTATTAAGTAGCTAAATGTAATTAATCGGACTTTGTCAAATATGTCGATTTTTATCTTTGATACAGAAAAGGACTTTTATAAATTACTATAGTATTACAATGGTAAAAGATTAACAGCTTGGCAATTAGTTGTTCAATGAAGTAACTTGTATGAATTGAAGAAAACAATCTATATTTGCACCATATGCGAGGCGTGCAATGTGATTTCTGTGAATATAGAATTTTAATGAAAGATGACATCCATAAATACGCCATATGTGAGACGTTAGAAACGGATCAAAGTATTTGCGCCCAATCATTCATGCCAATTTTAGATACGGAATCGTCGCAGATTTCAGATTTTATTAAAACCAAGTGATACTGTAGGTATAAATACATTGTACATATTCCGGTAAAATACAAAATCGTCGCAGTAGGTGCTCGAGTTGAACAGTATGAGGACCTATATTTTAATTTCGTAATAGTTTTGTCATAGCAAAATACGTATTTTATTGGTTAATTAAACGTTTTTCTCCTTCTTCATATGTTTGATACCATACAACACATGTGGATATATAGAGGATATTCAATGTTTTGTAGTTGAATGTGGAATTTATTTCACGAGTGGGACAGGATTTTTGATATTTTCACGAGTGCGAAGCTTGCACGAGTGAAAATATCAAAAAATCCTGTATCACGAGTGAAATAAATTTCATATTCAACTACAAAACATTGAATTTTCTGTTTATTACATTAAAAAAAAGAAGAAATCTTTGATTTTTCCTTTGCCTCTGTCTTTTTGTAATACAGTCATAGGCTCGTGACGTCATAGAATGAGCGGTTGAGACGTCATAGCTACAAGTGAGGTGAAAACACTGTAAACATGGATTTAGCAACATATTTTTGGTAATTTGACAGTTTTATTCGCTGTCAGAATGGTTTATTTATTTCCATCTATTTATATTAAGTCAAGGAATATTTTTTTACAGCAATCTTCGTTATGGGAAGGGATATTGAGAGTTTTCCCGCACTTCTGATATTCGTCACACTGTGACAGGATATCATTTTGATATCCTTTCATACTGTGACAGGATATCATTTTTATTCAATGAATAAATTACAGTATTTCACGGGTAAAAATGTAATAATATACAATTATAGCCTTTTGATGAGGTTTATCCTTAAATATATCAACATAAGGAAAGCATAGCGACCAAGGAGGAAGTGCGAGGTTGATATGCTTTCTCTTCTATATATCGAGGGATTGTACCGAATCAAAAGGCTACAATTGTTTTATTATTTTTTATCAGTTAATAAGAAATGTCTTAAAATCCTTCTTTCTAATACTCAGTACCTTCACATACAAGGCATTGATGTGTCATTGCATTATGACGTCACAGTAATGAAAACCAGCTGCAGTATCTGTTTTTAGAAACATCCAGTCTATAAAGACTATTGTGACGTCAGCACTATTGTTGCTTCACAGAAGAACGTTTCCAATTTTAGAAACAGCAGGTTTATAAATTTTTAAAATAGAAACATCTAGTCTGTAACACTTTTTATACTTGATCGTGTGATCCAGTTTGAGCCAATCAGATAGATGGAACAATAAAGAAAAATAATAAAGTGAATTATTACACACAAACAAAATAGAATATAGCAATATGAGAATTGATAATTAATTATTGCAAAGAATATTTTACAAAAACATGTACTAACATGAATGCCCTAAAGAAAGAAAAAGAATGCACAAAGAAATTCACTTTTAGATAAGGATACCCACTTTCGCTCCAGTCGGGGGTTGAACTCTCGACCTAAGGAGTCTCTCTCCTAGCAGTACAGGAACAGGATGAGACCGCTCGGTTATCTATGCAAGTCAAAAACTTTCGATGCCCATGGAGTTCTTGCGGTGCTGTCGCACACATTCTATATTCATATTTATCATTTAAGCAGTTATTTTAGCTTAGAGTTGGAGTAAAATGAGCTTTATTAATAAATATTAATTTCATTTTCATTTTTTGTACTGTTAACAGTCCTCTTATCAAACTGATGTCTAGCTTATCTCACTTCCATTCTCAATGACCCTGTAGTGAGGGTAGCGCCAAGAAATTCCATTGGCATCGAAAGCAAGTTTTTGACTTGCTGAGTAAGCCGAGTGGTTTGGTGCGCTGTTCTTGTACAGCTAGGAGACAGATTCCGTAGGTCGAGAGTTTATCCCTGGACTGGGAAGGATGTGGTTCCATGTATCCTTATAAAAGGTGTGTTTTTCTGTACTCTCCACCTCTCTCTCTCTCTCTCTCTCTCTCTCTCTCTCTCTCTCTCTCTCTCCTCTCTTTCTCTATACTAGTATATTAGGTATCAGAAAACTTTCTTTAACTTTTGTTTTTTGATGATCTACCTGTTTGCTAGCGAAGTAATTGAAAGCTTAAAGCTGCACACAATGCGTAAAAGAATTTGTCCGCCATATTCGATTGGACTCTCGCTTTATCTAAGAGCCATTCTCAATAGAACAGCTCACTTATTCACTGTTCGGTGTAAGTAATTGTCAACGGCATAGACGGACTTATGCTATACAGCAATCGGTAGTGACAAGAATAACTTTGTACTTCTACTTCTACTGGTAAGTGGCCTCCGTCAATAAGCTGACTATTATGCCACCAGGTGTGCGTATGTTCTTAAAAAAAGTAATAAAAAAAAATGACATCATATCAGTGACATCATAGTATGACATCAAAGAGACTTACAACGATTGTACAGGCCAGTGCAGTATACCGCAAGATAACCAGTACGAACACAAGGCCATTCCACGCCGACACCTATGACAATAAAGCAGTCAGGTGCAACGAATGCGAAGAGTATACTAGTACCCCGGAGCTGATGTCATAGATAATAATAACAAAAATGGTTCATGCCTATTTACGAGTCCTGTTCAGCTTTAAGGGCTTTCGGCGTTTATACATATGACCTGAGCAAAATCTTTCATCACATCATCAGAAGAATTGGACTTAAAGTTTTATACACTACCTCATAGACTCCCAATATAATATTATTGTTTTATATAAAAACACCAAAAATATATTCATAGGTTTAAAGCAATTTCAGTATGTCTGATAAAGCCATGGTTTTGTACCAGAAGATCATGTACATGTAAAAAGAAACTTCTTTCTCCACCATTGCTGAAAACCTCAGTTACAATAATATCAGTATATTAATGTCCAAACAAAATGCATGTATTACACGAATCATGTACATGTATATATATAAATCAAGAATAAAAGTATCATACTGAAAAAGGGGGAAATCATAAGTAAATGCAAAGCAGACATCAAAATCATTCATTGTACGCTGGAAGCATACATGTACCTTGGCGCTGGGTGAACCTTACCCATGCAGACGGACGGACATTGGTGATACCATGCAGCATTTATTTCACAATGGCTTGATAGACACCCGCAGGTAATATTACTCCTACGTCCCGTGGTAAATTATGC